GGGGGGGGGGGGGGAAGAGGGGGTACATGCCCCACCCCCCAGGGGTGCGCACGTGAGAACAGCAGCAGGAAGCTGTTTCATTCCACCCCACCACCGATAAGCTGCCCCCACAGGTCCGTCTCGCGCCCTGCCCCATTCCCTCCCTCACTGGGGGAACCTTGATCTGCCCCCCATCCCGACCTACCAGCCAGACACTGCTCTCCAAGCTCCCAGGCTGCATATCAGTGATCGGACTTGGCCGATAGGGCTGGTTAATAATCATGCCATCGGTATTGGCCAAAAAGATCTTTAATGCACCCCTATTAAAATAGCATTGAGAAGCCATAATTGGGATCATGGCCCAAATCTGCTACATGTTGAACACACAGAAAAAGTCTCTATTTCAGACAGCTTACCATATGGTCATTTAGGCCCAAAGAAAATTAGATTTTAAAATCTATCCCCCATCCTGCATTCCCAGAGTCCAATACAGACTTTCAAATCTACTTATACAGATCCTATTACCACCTGAGGGTTTTACAGTGGTTTTTCCAAGTATTTTTATGCACAGTGTTACTTTCATACTTATAACTTCCCTAATTCTATTAACTCTCCCCACGGCTCCAGCTTTCTTATATAGCTCTACAGCTCTCATATAGAACTATCATAGCACATACTAAGAAAATCCCAAAAGAGAACATCTTGAGAAGTTCAATATACCAAAAAACAAGCAAAAATTACTTTTTGTTGCAAAAACTTGCTCAAAGTTTAATCACCCAAAGCAGGTGTCTGTCTTTCAACTTTTCAAATGCCTTCATACCTGCTAGATTAAGCAAAGCCTACCACCAAGCGTATTATTGGTTTCTGTACCAGGTAAGTAGTTAAGGCACAGGCTGAGTTCACTATCAAAGTTGTTAAAACTTGTTTCCAGTGTCCACACACTAAAGTAATGAAATGTCGAGAAGAAAAAAAAAAATGTTTAATCTGATTTTTTTTTAGAATAATCACATCCAACAGTCTTCAGAGGTTATACCCCTAACCCATCTCCCATATGGAATGGATGTCAAACTTGGCAATCATTGTTCCAGAGCTAAATATGCCAAGCCAACTCCCAAACAAATCCAAAACATCAAATTATAGTAGAACTAAAAACAGATTAAGAAAGGGAAAGTACTGTATCTCAAGCTTGTCTTTTTTACTGACCATCAACCAACATCATTTGAAATACAGAAATCCATTGATATTTTATGGAGAAAAGAGTTCAGTGATCTCCAAAAGAGAAAAAGAGGGCAACCTGCGGAAATACAGAACAGTAAGTCTAGACTTCAACAACTGCAAAGTTATTGCAGAAAATCATTTTTTTAAAAGTTCATTCAGAAGCGTCTGGATGAGGAAGCAGTTATCACAAGGAGTTAACATGGATTTGTTAAGAACAAATCATGCCAAAACAACTTGATTTTCTTTTTTCCGAGACTAACTACTTGGGTGGATGAGGGAAATGCACTAGACTCAGACTTTAGTAAGGCTTTGGATACATTCCCACAAAATATTCTCATAAGTAAACTGGAGAAATGTGGGCTAGATACGCAATTGGCTGAATAACCACATCAATACCCGGTTAGCAAGCGATTCCAAGCATAGGTTTCAAAGAAGTCTGTTCTGGGTCCCGAGTTACTTTAACATTTTTACTAGTGACATGGAAGCCAAAAGACAGAATTTTCTGACCAAGCCTACAAAAGAAAACTGGGGAGTGCTTGTAAATTGAGAGGACCAAAAAATTAGAATTCAGTAGAATCTGTCCAGATTGGAAAACTGGGTACAAGACAAGAGAACAAGATCCATAGACAAATGCAGTATAACTAGGCAAAAAACCCCAAATGCACAAATACAGAATGGGCGATGACTGGTTAGCCAGGAACGTTATTGAGAAGGATCCGGGCATTTTAGCAGATGGCAAACTTAACAATAACAAAAAGAGCAGCAAATGCAATTCTGAGCTGCATTACCAAAAGTATATATTCAAAACACAGGGGGAGCTAGTAGCACTCTACTTGACACCGGTTAGGCTTCAGCTAGGGCAAAGCTGTCCAATTTCTAATGGCCAGGTGCTACATCCTTCATGGGCTACAAGCTCCTCACTGCAGTACACTGGTGTCCCAGCACCCATCCTCAGCTCCCTAGCCATGGGCTACCCTGATGCACTGTACTATGTGGGTGCCCTAGCTGAAGACACCCCTAGCACGAATGGGCTGTGCTGCATCTCACTGCCCCCTGGAGCAAGTGGAAGCCAGAGA